GCATGGCTGGCTGGGAAATTCTGGGAGTTGAAGTCTTCAGCTTCAACCTTTCCCTAAAGGTACAGGGAAAGGCCCCTTTATCTGTAGGCTAAGCTAGAAGTCATGTTAACTGCTACTTCCATACGCATGTTGGAAAAAGGTCAATGGCATATTGACATGTGTATGAAAAAGAATCAGGATCAGGATCACAGCAAATAGTGCTCCTGTAAAACTAAGCTTTAAGAGTAAAATATAAGACAATTACCCAAATAGCAATGGCATATAAGAGATACAAAGAGTTGTCCCACTAAAATGAATGAATGAATGAATGAATGAATGAATGAATGCATAGGCAAAAGGAGAATATAGTGCAGTCTCCCATTTTCTCTCTTGAAACTAGAACTACCATATCACGCCTACAAAAATGTAGACGATCCCTCCATTGGAGGAAAGAGAGACAGCAAATGTTAGTGATTTGCTGCCGTTTGGTGGTGTTTTGCAGCCCAGGAATGGTGGCTGCTGGCTCTACTCTAAACAATAAAGAAATTACTTCATAAAGGAAGAAACAAGCAATTAGTTGGAGACAATTTCCTTATGCAATATCTAGCTGACAGACTAGTAATAAAATAGAAAACAGTGTCTAGACACATAGAAAGGACGATGCTCAAATGTTACACCAAGCTAGAGCATTTAGCCACAAAAGTATTTTTCTTCAGAATTCAAAATAGGACATTTAGAAAATAAAATGAAGGGGAAACGCCTGCTGAACATCTAGTCTGCCTATGTATTTATGCTGATTTCATGAAGCTATCTTAAAATCTAATGACTAGGATGAAAGGTTGCATGCTCCCAACTGACTTGGGTTTGTGATGGATTTCATCTTCCCACGTGGGGAATCTCTGATGAACATGCATACTCAGAAGTCGCTCATTTCCAGAATGACAGAATTTCCTTTGGGCTAATCATGGGGAAATCGTTTTAAAAATGGGTCTTCCAAGAATTATTTTGAGATAGACCATATCTCAACATAATTTGTTGTACTGAAAAGAACTCCTCATCTGGGAAATTTATTTATTTATATATTTAATTCAATTTGGGCAGCTCATAATACGCCAGACAATATCAAAGCAATAGAATAAGAAACGGTAAACACAAAACCAAACTAGAACAGAAGAGAAAGAAAAAAGAACAAGCAAACTCAGCAGATCCCCCCAAATAATCCACCATCTCACATTCAGCAAAGGGGGCTCCAGCCAGCCTAGCCTGAGGCCTGGGAGAGCAACCAGAATGCCAACGGGGCAGGCATTTCCTGGGTCTTGATAGATGACATTTTTTAACTGAAGGAACCTAGAATGTGCCAACTCTGTCAGCTCAAACCGACCAGGCAGACACCATGGGAGATAAGTGGTCCCTCAAATAACCAGGCCGTATGACATGTAGGGCTTTATAGGTCATAGCCAGTACCTTGAATGGCACCCAAAAGCAAACTGGCAAGCAGTGTGGCTTGTGGAGCAGAGTTGGCACATGGTCATACCAAGGCATTCTCATCACTGTGTATACTGCTGCATTCTGGACCAATTGAAGCTTCTGGATGGTCTTCATGGGCAGCCCCATGCTGAGGACATTGCAATAGTCGAGCCCTGAGATTATTAGGGCATGAGTGACTGTTTAAGGTTAACTCCAATTTATTTTAAAAAATTGAGAACTGAAATGGAAATAAAAGAAATTTAGAAATGTAAAAGAAATTTTATATTTTAATTAATAAAGTGTATTGACCATTCACATGAATCCACTAATACAACTATTGGATGACAGTTAAACTTTACTTAAAAGTCTTCTGTCTGTTTGGAAAAGTTATCATCTTTTTTTTTTTTTTTTGCCAGCATATGAATTCATGATCAAACAATTTTCTTTCCAGATCTCCTTGTGAAAATAAGAAGCATTAAATGCATTTATGATCTTGTTCTTCCCATATGCTCCTGTACTTTTAAACAATGTGACTGTAAATTACTTATAAACCTGTCTCTGCAGAGATCCAGAATTATTTGCATTACCTATCTTCTGCCTATTATGAATCATTGAAAGCAAAGTAAGGTGTTTGACCAAAATGCCTCAGGAATGGAGCACCCATGAATACACTATTGGCATGAGGCGTTAGATTTTAATTCATAACTTCAGAGCTATCGTCATTGCTACATTCTAATCACCAATCGTGATGAGTACAACTCTCCCAGTTGCTTGCACAGCACTGAAAGTGCTTGGGTGGCCATGTGTCCTGTTTTACAGAGGATATTCCTTTCCTTAGTCTCCTGTTTGAGAGGTTGCCTGGTCCAGCATCTATTTAAACATAAAGAATTATAAGAAGCGGAAACAGGGGTGTTGGAATTGTCTTTCAGGCGCACTTGGGCAACAGGCTGAGCAGACCCAGATTTACCTGATCTTGATCTTCCTCACGATGAAATATGTTGAATTTCTAACTAAAAGATAGATGCCAATTGACAAAGATTTTCTGTGCGTAAGAAGTTGTCATAGACAACCAGAGGCTCCTCAGAATGGTGGTGACAAAAGCAGTCTTGCACTATTGTAATGCAAGAGTCCCCCATTGGGGGGAGATGGGCGGGGGAGAAATTTAATAAATAAATAAATAAATAAAATAAATAAAGCTCTGTTCTTTTTATATACAGTACATGTTGTGATATCGCATGCGTGTACAAAAGTAACAGAGCTTGCCTCACCGCAGTGGTGCCACACTGCTTTTGTCCAAATTTTGACCAAAGTGTTGGCTGTTCTGTATGCAAACTATATCTTCTCTTTCATCTGTTTTTCCTGTGGGGAAGGAACTGTGTGTATATCAATCTGTTTGTACAATAAATGTTTCAGGGTTGCACTGGAAATATTCTGGCCAGTGTCAGCATTTCTTGGGCAACTCTGTACAAACGATCTGTTTCCTGGATCCCCATTAAACATTCCATTTTCTTCCTTCTTGCTTGCTCTACATTCTCAGTAGTCCCCACTGTAATTAAACCCAATCCCCAATGCTGTGCAGCATTTGTCTTGAGGAAATTAAAAGGGTGGTACGCTCACTTGCCTCTTGCTGCTCACGGCTCCCAGGGGTTTCAGACTCTGAAGAAGAGGCACAAGAGATGGCTGTTTGCCTGGGTCTCCCTGAAATCAAAATCAAAAGCCAACCCTCCCAGGAAGAAGAATTGCTTCTTAGTGTCTCTTAGCTTTTTGCTTTCCAAGGAAAAGTCCAACTATGGCAACTGGACATGAAGACAATGATTGCTTCTCCTTCAATACTCCTGGGCCTCAAAAGAAATAATGAAACTGTTAGGCAGTTGTATGTGTATGAGAAAGAGTGTAAGTTTCTAGTTTGGAATCATCTAGTTTGGAAGTTGTACAGCAAGTACACAAATAATAGATGTATCCTGAGCTTTCTGAAATCCCAAAAACGGAGTGGGAGAAGCCTCACAAAAAGTACCCATTCTGTATTCACAAGTTGTAGCTATAAGAAGCTGTTCTTCTTGGCAAGAAGGAGATTATTGCAAGATTATTAGTCACGTTCCCCACCCTCACCCCCCAAATATTTTCCAGGAAAGCCAAACAACAGAGTATCATTTGCTGACAAAGAAAATGGTTTGCCTTTTAGGACAACATCTGCCATATAGGTAGTCTTTCCAGAAAAACCGTGCTAGCGTGGACAGACCTTAAAACCCAACATGCAGTACCCCTACTCTAGCAGTAATACAAATTCATCCACACCCTTTTCAGCAAAATAGGGTTATATGTGCCTATGCATATGGGTATGGCAGTCCTACACATATAAATTGGTAACTTATTTTCTCATCTATTTTTTAATCTTTAGAGGAATAATCCCCTTTATATGAATTGCCAGCTGCCTGGGAAATCTGATTGCCTCCTGCTGCTGCTGCTGAATGGCTACCTAGCCAAGATGGATGGGTCTGAAGAACTAGCATTGTTCAAGTCCTTTCTGGAGAAGTCTGATATTAAAAGATCCTTTCGAAATGGGGTCGGATCAGGAATTAAAAAAACATCCTTTCGTAGAGCCAAGTCATAAACAAGTGCCTAAAGAAATACTCACAAAGCAGAGTCTATAAAGTTAAACTGGATGTGCTTAAAATTGTTTGTAGTGCATGAATGAATCCAATAAAACAAATGTATCAGTTTGTTCATAATGAAAGCAGATGTTTACTTGAAATGGTGCAAGCCAAACAAAGTAAATGTGGTCATTCAAAATAGGCATTTCTTTCTAAGTTAGAATATCATACCATTTTGCATTTATATAAAAGTGGTTTTCAGCTTAATTCCACCTGTTACAGATTTTAACTTTACTTCCAAATTGAGGCCTTCGGGATCTCAACATGAGATAAACTCTATTTGATCCTTTAATTTCATTCCTACAACAACAGTCCTGTGAAGTTGGTTGTACTGAGAAATACTGCAGGGACTTACAGTGAACTTTTATGAGTGCCAGGCTGGACATGGACTTCCCCACTTCTACTCCAACCCCCTAGATGCTCTCAAATAAATGGAGCTATATGGGACAGAAAATACAAAGCGAAGGAAGTGGGTTTCAGAAAACGAGGTTTTCTATAGTAACATGGAATAAGGTGTTTTTGGACCATTCAGTCAGAGCACTGATCCACGTAGTATATGGGCCCTCAAAAGTATTTCATGCAACTTATGAATTTTAACAAATAAGCTTTGTTTTTTATTTACAAACTTATGACTGTGCCAGAATAGAAATCATTCTATTTTTCTCTTTAGGTCTTTTAAATTTTTTTTGCAGTATAAAAATAGACCTGGTTAGCTGTAAAGTCTATAAACATTGTAGATTTTGTCAACAAGAAAAGGTCATCTGCTGAAATACATTATTTGTGTGACTTTTACCTTGTGGCCATTTCTTCAGAGAAGTGATATAACAAACTCAGCATGCTTGCATAAAGATGTTATGAAGGTATTTATTTGATGTGGCACATTTTGATGCAAAGAAAATCAGTATATGGAATAATTACAAGACTTATTTTAAGTGTCAAAAAAAAAAGGAAATTTCATTGGTAAAAACATGTGTAAACTGAAGAATAACATCCATTAGTTTGAAATACAGTAAAAGAATCAGTATAATCAATCAGTGTTTTATATGAATAAAGAATGTGTACATGTTTCTGGACATTTTTGTTTTTTATTTTGTTTTGTTTTGTTTTTTTGTGCCAAAACAAAGAGCACCAAAGTTTGTAGATTTCTCTTGTACTTGGAATCAATATGGCAGAACAATTTCTGTAGAGTATTTTGACTAGCAATGCCTCTGGTGCTTTATGCTAAACTAGAAATATATACAAAATATGTACAAAAGCACTGTTGTTTTCTAATTAGGGTCTTTCAGGGTTTGGACAACTAGTGATCTGATAGATCTGTCCACTGGTAGCTTATATCTGCGCCTTCCTCAGCTGGTTCAAATGTGTTGGAAGAAAAATCACGCTGGCTGCCTGAGATTAGCGTTTGTCTCTTCAAGAGATATATTATAATTTATGGATTCATATTCACCATCACAAAGAGCTGTTTTTACCATCCTGGGGCAATGGAATTGTTTTCTGCCTTTATTTAGCCATATTGAGCTAGAATTGGGGTTCCAAAGGTCAGGTTAACTGTATTTGCCAGTAATGCCCCTTTCTGATGTGTGTGAAAGTGAGTTAGGCAAATAGGTCTGAGGCATGTGTGTGAGAGATTGATTTGAAGTTATTAGCTTAACGGTCAGCCTAAGAATAAACAAATAAAGCCCCTGGCCAAGGCAACATGTAGCCAAGACCTGTTAAAGCCCGTAAATAGGAGATTGCTGATCTTTCCCCAACTTCTTTTAACATCAGAACACAACTGTTCCATCTAGATGAGTTCTTTTTGAGCGGCAGCTTTCCCAAACATTCCCTTCTTCTGTGAGTTTGGGAGCACAGACTGAGGGATATTAGCAGACTGCTTTCCTTGCTTCCCATTCACACCATGACTGAGTTCATGTTGGCAGTCAGTGATATTTTGCTGCCATTTGAAATCTGTGTTGTAGTTCTTTTATAGAGTAGCTCTAGGAAAGCCATATCTCTTCCAAAGGCATCAGGCAGTCCTGCTCATTTCATAGAAAACATAAACTGTTCCATTTGGGTTATATTCTACAACTTCATGCTGGGCATGACCAGAACTTGGCAGGTCATGAATATGGCATCCAACCTAGGGCATCTCTGCACTGCCAAGTTGCCTCGTTGTGAGCATGGGCCACCCACAGGTTCTAGAGGCCAGAATGCAGGATGTTATCTTCTTCTCACCCCCAGCCCACTGCTAGCATGACCTCTGCCTGTGTTTTCCTGCTCTGAGTCAAAAGTAGTCTTTTATGTCTCATGCCAGCTCAAGCATTGCTGTCCCCGTGCCTGCTGAGCTTTACTTCATTCTTTCTGGTTTGATTGGCTATTCTACCGAGACAGGAAAACCCTCTCACCTCATTTTTCCAGCTTTTCCTCCTTGCTTTATTACAGGGCTTTCTCCCTGGTTCAAACCCAGCAGAAACTTTTCTTAAAATTATGTTTTTCCTTTGCTGAGCTATCTGCTTTTCCTTTGGGTCTTTTTTGTTTTTAAATAAATCTGTTGAGGCACTTCTTTTCCAGTCCCTTGAGACAGAAGTGTTTCATGCCCACCTTCCTGCAGGTCTCAAGCCGGGGATATTCTGCCCATCAAGGAATTCTTGTAACTACTCTACCGCTGAGAAAAACCTGTCATAGAAGCAACAGCGGACACCTATGAGGAAAAGCTGGGAGGAGATGCAAGAAAGGAATGTGCATTTGAAGCCTGGTTGTTGGGCCATCCTGTATGTGCATTTTGATGCTTTAACTTTGCATACATAAAATTAAGTTTAACTTTATATACATATAATTTAATATGACTCTGTATGTCTGTGTCTCTCTATGTTATATATAACAATATTATATATATTATATAATTGTGTGTGTGTGTATGTATGTGTGTGTGTATGTGTATGTGTATGTGTGTGTGTGTGTATGTGTGTATGTATGTATGTATGTGTGTATGTATGTATGTATGTGTGTATGT